AGGAGAATTAGAATCCTTGTCATGCCCTTCTCTAGGGGCTATGATAATGTGAGAGGACATTAGTGGGTCTCTGTGTCACAGGTTCTTCAAGACATCCACAGGTGGTTGATAAGGAAGTCACGGCAGTCACATCTACCTGGTAACAACATCTCCAAGGAAAAGGATTTAAGCAGGGGTTTAGGGGGTTACGGCGCCACACTCACCTAGAGTGTAGGCCCGCTCCCTGTCTGTGGGGGGCGAACTTTTCTTAAATTAATCTTATCTTCTCTCACATCTGTGTGTTACAATTCTTTGCATTTACTCGGATCTCTGGGTTGCCGGCACACACCTCTGGCTTGCTGGCTCCGGTGGTGCTGCGCCTCCCTGTGCCTCTCCTCTCTCCTCTCCATCCATCCACCCTCACCCCATCTGAACCCTAACAAACTCTATTAACTTTTTTTTTCTTTTAGTTGGAGTCTCACTCTGTCGCTTAGGCTAGAGAGCAGTGGCATGCTCACAGACCCTGCAGCCTCAACCTGTGGGGCTCAGGCTATCCTTCTACCTCAGCCTTCCAAGTAGCTGGGACTACAGGTGTGGGCCACCATGCCCAGCTAATTTTTTGATTTATTGTGGGGACGAGGCCTCGCCATGTTGCCCAGGCTGGTCTCGAAGCCCTGGGTTCAGGAGATTCTCTCACCTTGGCCTCCCAAAATGCCAGAATTACAGGCGTGAGCCACGGTGACCGGCCTATTAACATTTTTAAAAGCACCTGTTATAAAAATAAAATTTAAATTTCATAAGTTAACAATTATTTTAAAATTCAATTTTTAATATTGAAGAGTGTACACCTGCCCCCTTTGTGTTTGTTAGCTTCCTCTGTATTTCTCCTTCTTCTGAGTGTCATAATCTACCCAAACACAGGCTCCGTGTCTGCCCTTCCCCGTTTTGGCATTTCCACCCTTAGATTATGAGCTTTTCAAAGACAAGGGTCTGGTTTCCAACCCAATTTATTTTTTCCTCCTTTTGTCTTTTCTCCCCCATTCTCTATCTCTTCTGTAATGTGGTGAAAGAACTTTTCACATAGCTGGAATCAGCCATAATCACGGTTCCTTGAATCAGTTCAGGGTTCTACAGTGAGCCAAGTGTGTCTGCCTACACAAATCTCACTTTTCACCAGTCTTATCATTATCCCCATTTTACAGAAGAGGAAACTGGGTCTCAGAGAGGTTGGATAACCTGCCCAAAGGTACACAGGCTAATAAACGGTGGAAGGAGCAGGACTGGAAACTTCCCCTCTGGCTTTCTTCGCCCATTGGTCTGGCTCATTCCCCACTCTCTGCTGAGCTGGGCTGTGGGAGAGAACACCCTGTAGCCAAATACCTTCCAGTTGTTCTGGAAAGCCCATGTGACTCTTGAGGTAGAAACAGGTTGATCCTCCTCTGAGGGGGCCAAGGGACCATCTACAGGTTACAATGAAATGGGGGTGTGCTGTTTCAATAGCACAGTGAGGGCAGCCCTGTGCCTTCATGGCTGGGGCAGCTGCCTTTACCTGTGAACTGAGGGCTGTAGGGGGAAGAGGGGACAGTGGAGATAGCTCAGCAGCAGCTCGGGGAAAACCAGACTTTGAATATCCTGAGTCCCTGGGGCCATTTCAAGCCACAATCATCTCTAAGAACACGGATCCCACCATCAGCAATTACAGAGCCCTACTTAGCGGCCAGGCCAGCTGGCTGAGCCTCAGGCTGGGTCTCCAGCTCTCAGAAGTGGATTCTTAGTACTGCAGGTGGCTCATTGTCAGAGGAGCTCTGCAAACATAGTTCCAATGACTTTGGGGAAGTGTAAGTCAAGCCTTCTGGGAAAGAAGGTGGGAGCTTATGGTTAACTATTGCCAGGCAGCTCAGTCAAGGAGGCAGGCATTGGGCAGTATACAAGTCTGAGGATGTCGTCTCCCCAGCTTCCTTGGATGGACCAAGTAAGGCTCAGGGAAGAAAGTGCAGGCAGAGACTAATCTTGCTAAGAATTGTTCCTCAGCACAGCACTATGGTGAATCTGGGGGGAGCATCCGTTATGAAAAGGGTGCAGGATTTAAAATTAGATCAGCGTTTATTCCTTTGGCAATTATTAGTTGTGTGGCCTTACATGTATCTTCCCTTCTCTGTGCCTCAGTTTTCTTTTCTTTTTTTTTCTTTTTTGAGTTGGAGTCTCACTCTGTCACCCAGACTGGAGTGCAGTGGCCGTTCCCGGCCACTGCAGCCTCAAGCTGCTGGGCTCCTTCCGCCTTCCACCGCTCCTTCCGGTGATCCTTCCGCCTCAGTCTTCCAAGTAGCTAGAACTACAGGCACGTGCTACCACGCCCGGCTAATTTTTTAATTTATTGTAGAGGTGAGGTCTCGTCAAGTTGCCCAGGTGGGTCTCAAACCCACGGGCTCAGGCAATCTACTCACCTCAGCCTCCCAAAGCACGGGATTACAGGCTGAGCCACTGAGCCTGGCTGCCTCAGTTTTCTTATCTGCACAGCAAGATTAAAATTAGTTACTTTAGGCTGGGCACGGTGGCCCATGCCTGTAATCCTAGCATTTTGGGAGGTCAAGGCAAGAGGATTGCCTGAGCCCAGGGGTTCGAGACGAGCCTGGACAACTTGGTGAGACCTTGTCTCTACAACAAATCAAGAAAAATTAGCCAGGCATGGTGGCACACATCTATATTTCCAGCTACTTGGAAGGCTGAGGTGGAAGAATTGCCTGAGCACAGCAGGTTGAGGCTGCAGTGGCGTGAGCATGCCACTGCACTCCAGCCTGGACGACAGAGTAAGACTCCAACTAAAAAAAAAAAAATGTACTTTAAACTTGGGATGGTCCCGAGACATAATCCAATGAAAAAATGCTCTACGTGTTATACAGGTGACAGGCACTGTTATTACACCATGTGTGATACTCTAACCCTCTATCCTGCCAGCACAAGGAATGAGACTAGTTAGGTACCAAGGACAGCTTTACAATAACTGAATGCCACACCTTAGGGGATCTTTGAGGTCGCCTTGTTCGTCCTCCCTCCCTCTCCATTTTCAAAAGAGTCTGAGGTTCTGGGCAATGACAAGTCCAACTACCAAGAATGCTGAACCCCCCCTGGCATCTCTGGCCACGTGGAGGTGAAGGGGTATTGCTGCCATGGTCCCTGTTCCTGATGCTTCTCAGCCCATGCCCAGATGCCAGAATCGGGGTGAGAGTTTAGTACACCACATTTCACAGACTGTAATCTAACCAGCGTTCTCCAAAATGAAAGGCCAAAAGAACAAAACTGCCAATATGACATTTAAAAAAAGAAAAAAAATCTTAGAAATCACAGAAATCACAGACCAGTTGCTGAGAAAGTGTTAAAACGTTTACATTCCACCTTGCTTACAATTCCCCTGGGAGGGGAATTTCTCCCAGGAATGTAAGCATTGCTGGTCTCCTCTCCAAATGGCCTGGTAGCATTTAAACAGGACTGAAATCATGTGTTTGTTATTTGCAAATCGGCCCTTAAGAAGTTGTCAAACTTGGAAGTAGAGGTTTAGACCAGGTATGGTGTTCCGCAGTTGCCTCTTTATCTCCGGATTTTCTAAAGGCCCCGGGTTGGTCTAAGTTTCTATCAACTTCCAACTCCATTGATTTCCATTTTCTCTAACCAATGGATTTTCCTGGAGTACCTACCTTAGGTGCCCAAGACTCCTGGTCTTCTATCTTTTGTGAGGGAAAGAAGGGGGGAAATGGGAGGCTGCTTTCAGCAGGTAAGAATGTACTCTGGCATCTCAGGAATCTTCAGAGTCTGAGCTCAGAGCAGCTCCATTTCCCGCCCAGTCCTGGGTCCCCTTCTCCCCTAATGGCTGTGTCTGCCCTAATGATTCATACAGCTGTCTTGAGATTCCTCAGTGGTTGAAATTTTTCCAGGCTCCCTCCTAGGGAGTCCACTCAGGGTTTAAACACACAGGCCCTGGGGTCAGACTGACTGCATCTGTATACCAGGCCCCCACTTCAGCTGTGGGATGACCTCAGCATCCTCATCTATGAAATGGAAATAATTACTTTGAGATTTTGTAAGTATGGTTTGGTGTCTGGGAAAGAGCAAATGCTCACTAAATACTAGGTGTTATAATTAGGAACCTCTACTAAGTAGGTGAGGACAGAAGGGAGAACCAGTTGAGGCTGATGGCAGGAAATAGGTTTTTGGTTTATCAGAGCAAGTAATCTGCTTTAGTAATTACAGATCCAAGTCTATTTTGGGGTAAAAAAAAAAAAAAAGAGGGGTGGATTTTATGAGAATCTTAAATAGCAGTTCCAGGCCGCACTCTTGGGACTTGATGGAAGCCTTGGAGGTTTCATACTAAAGCTAGAGGACCCTGCAGGTTCAAATCCTCCAGAAGTACTATAACCACAAATCAGAACTTGACTCCAGAGAGCAAGGTTTCAGACCCTCACACTCCAGCTGCTCCAGCTGATTTTACCTAAAGGAACAGGAAAACGGCCTTTACAACAATGAGCACTGTTTCCCATTGTTGTGATACCATGGTGAGCTTGTCCTGCAAACACTGAGAACTTGAACTTCCTCTCAGCAGCAAGCCTTAGGGTTTTCACTTCCTTCATACTGAGTCACTTTCCCTGTCCCCGGACCTCAGAGAACCAATGTCTTAGAGTTGTCATTGTCCTAGGGGTGTCCTCCCTGCTGGCCCTCAGCCCAGAGCCCAGAGCCTGTTTCATGAAGCACTGGTAGTACTGGCCCACGAGACCATGGGGTGGCTGACATCTGAAGTCTTCCCAAGAGTAGCATCTTTGTAACCTCAGCAACTAGCCCAGTGCAGGGGACACAGAAGGCCTCATCTGTATGCCCAGTGTAGGGCTGGGGGTAGAACCACTGCCCCCTAGCAACAAGAAATTCCAGGGAGCTGGAAATGGAAATAACCAAGCTGCTTGGCAAGGGGAAGAAGCCACCGACTGTCCCCTCCCCCTTCCAGCCACAGCCTTGCTCTGGATCCTATCACTTACCCAGGGCTCCTTGGCAGATGTCTGTGCGGGTGGCTCCTCCAACAATAAATTGGGGGTCAGCGCAGAGCTCCTGTGAACGAGACCCACAAAGTGCAGTCAGCCCACCAGGCAGGTACTTTTGCAGTTAGGACGCCTCTGTTCTCAGGGGGTCTCTAACCCCTTCTCCCCCTCCCCCTGGGGAACGTTTGTAGTCACCATCAGAGCTCTGTGCCATGAAGTCCTTCTGACTTCTGCTCCCTGAGCCCTGATGGGTAGGTGGGTGATCCTCCTCGGTGAGAAGGGCAGTCACCGAACTCTGCACACTCCAAACCTGCTGCTTTCCGGGGGCCACAGCGGCATCAAGTCAGGCCTTTTCTGCCAGGCTTTGAGACCCTCCACACTCCAGAGCTGCCCTACCCGCCTCGCTAGCACCCTCCCCTCTCTTCCTGCATGCAAATCGTTTTGCTTGCATGGAATTCCTCCCCTTCCCACCCTGATCCCTCCTTTTCCACATTGTACCATATTTTAAGGCTCATTGCCACCTTCTCCATGAAGCCTTCCCTCATAGTCCAACCCTCACCCATCCCTTTGAGTCTGAGTCCCAGAGTCTGTCCTCTGCAATTTAGTACTTAGTTGTGCACTGTCTGGTAGTGCTCATGGGTGTTATTCTGTTTTCTCTCCTAACAGATACCCTTTCCAGGGGACTGGAGCTTCTACAGGGCTGAGATACTTGGAGCATCCATATATTCTATGCCTGCTGTATATCACACACCATGCTTGAAGCTTTATCTCGTGCAGTCATCTCAAGAACACAAGATGGGGATTACCTGGGTACTGACTCATTTTACAGGCGAGAAAACAGCTAAAGGAGGTAAAATGACGTGTCCAAAGTTAACACTGCTCACAAGCGATAGAACTGATTGACCTAACACACCAACTCTTTCCACTCCTGCCTTGCCTCTAATTGATTAGTATCAAGTCTCTAAGGGTGTCAGAACCTCAGGGGCCACCGCCACAAGCAGCCTGATGCAAGCCAACCATGAAAAGTGCTGGCCGTTTCCGCAGCCCTCTTTGAGTGTGTTTCCTGACTCTGACATGCTCCACCCGAAGCCACAGAGGAAGCTGGGGCACAATCTGGGCCTCTCTCGACCCAGGCAACTTTGATTTGGAGGAGCTGCCCGGGTCTCACATCTGCCGGAGTGCTGCATGTAGCCTCTAGCCCACGGCCCTGGGCACACCCTCTCTGTCAAGCCGTTCTCCTGGGTGGGACCTGGGTGGGACCTGGATCTCCTGGGTGGGACCTGGATCTCGCCCCTGTACACCCTGGCTCGGATTGTGGAAGCTCTCCGGAAGTACAGCCTACAACAGGGCACATTCCCTGCATGCCTCTGTGTTGTGCCTCTCTGTTCAGGTCACTGTTTGGGGGACAAGAGAGACAACCAAAGTGCTCTTCTGCTGAGGCAAACAAAGCCAGCTTGGCCCACGGCCTGCCAGCGAGCACTTATCCCACTGATGGAATAGACTGGGCTTGAGCCTCTTTATTATAAACACTCATATTGGTAATCCTGAGTGCGCAAGGCACTTACCCCAGAAGGATTTTTCCATTATGTTTCAGAAACTTTCTTGTGCCTTTGGCAGTCTCTCCAAAGGAGTCAAAGTTCAGAGTGGCGATTAGTGACGCTTCAGAACACTGAAACTTATGCAGAGCCTGCAGGATGTCAAATTAGATACAGGATGCACCCATCACAGGAGAGGGGCTGAGGGCTTGGGCCTTGCTGTATCATTTTGGTCACCTGGCTCTGCCACTTATTTTATAGGCCTAGGACCTGGCAAGTTACCTCGCCTCTTGAAGCCTCAGTTTCCTCATCTGTGAAATGGGGATGGTGATATATCTACCATAGAGGATTGTTCTGAGGGTTAAATGAGATAACTATGTAAACATGCCTTGGTCAGGACTTCATAAATGTGACCCATTATTATTACCACTATTGAAGAAGCAGTTGATGATAATAATCCCCGAACTTGGAGACACAGCATATGGGTCTGAGGCTGCGTTCAGCTAGCTGAATATAAGCAAGTGATAAACCCCTTAGAGGTTTCGTTCTCTCAGGGGAAACAAGAGACTAACAATACCTGCCCTTGCTCCTGACTGGTTGCTGGGGAGATCTGACATGCCATCCATCTTTGGGTCATGCCAGCTTTCCCCTCACTGTGCCCCTGCACGGCCCTTGGATCCCACCTGGCTTCAGCCATTTCCTGCTTTATCCCCTGGCCCTCTCTGGTGCCACTCTCTTGCCAGCGTTGTGAAATCTGCTGAGAAAGAGCGGGCCCTCCTGGCTGCAAGGCTGACCTGCTCTCCTGCCCTGCCATGTCCCTTGTTTTCACTTCCTCATGGACCTGGTTTCACTGTCTCCTCCCTGCCTTTATCTGGCACCCCTTCCACCCTGGGCACTCTCCCTCTTTCTCAGGTGCCTTTCCTAAACGACTTGATCACACACTCCTCATTTCCCGTTTCCTGACTGGAGTCTGCAGCAATCTGGCTTCTCCCCCACCTTTCTATTGAAATTGCTCTGCTGAAGTCACCAATGGCTGCTAATGTCTAAATCCAGTGGAAATGTGTTTGTTCCCCTTGCCTGACCTCAGGTGTTTGAAGGTAGGACAGAGGCAGGGAGGGCAGCCACAAGAGCTGGGCTCAACACGCACAGGCTGGGCATAGCCCTGGGTCCACCCCGTATATCTGTCTGACTCTGGGCTAGTGTTTAACCATCCTGAGCCTTGATTTCTTCAACTGCCAGATGGGAATAATAACAGCCACATTCCCTCTTGGATATGCAGTCCACAGCCACCTGCCCTAAGCAATGGCCCCGAGAGGGTTCTGGATCTCAATTTCCTCATCTGGAAGTCCTATGGGCGTTTCCAACTGTTGGAGGACTGGTCTGTCTCCCTTCACTAGACATCTGCCTTTTCCCCTCACTAGCTCCTGAAGTCTTCAGAAGCAGAAACGATATGCCCTGTACCTGGCATTTAGTAGGTGTTCAAGAAATGCTTATTGAATGAATGAAAGTATAAGTGTGTGAACTCACCGTGTAAACTGTAAAATGCTATACCAATATAAGGTGAACATATTCTTGTTTGTATAACACTTTCACAGACATGATTTCATCAGAGCCTCCTTACAGTCTTGCATTCATTCATTCTACAGATAGGTGCTGTCTTTTGTGTTCATGGATGTATTTCGTGGGCACAGGACAGTGCCTAGCATGTAACAGGCGCTCAATAAATATTGCTGAATGAATGAACACTGTGAAAGAGCAAGAACCATGCTAACCACTAGGGACATATTGGTAAATAATGTACACATGGTCCCTGCAGTTCAGTGGGCAGGACAGATAAATACTCCACATACATGTAACACTGTATTTATAAACTGTGCCAATACCATGCAGGAAATGAACAGGGAATAACAAGGTGGGGAGGCAGCAGCTAGGAATGAATGGTCAGGAGAGACCTCTCTGGGGAGGGCACATGTGACTAAGTCTGAAAGAATGAGAGTGAGCCAGACTCCAGAAACCCAAGTACAAGAGCACACCCAGCAGGTAAGAAGGCCTGAGGCAGGAGAGGACTGGCCCTTCGAGCAACTGAAAAGGGAGGTGCGAGTGGCAGGGTCTGGTGAGCCCCAGGAAGAGAGGAAATACCTAGGCATCACCTATTCCTTCAGATGAAGAAGCAGAGGCACTGGGAGGTTAAATGGCTCACCAAGGTCACCCAACAGGTTAGCAGGACGGAAACCCAGGTGCCCTGAGCCCTGGCCTAGGGTGTTTCCTGCCTCTTCCGTTACCTGTGGGCTGGATTTAGGGTGATGGAAGTGGCCTGGGAGCCTGCGGGGTGTGAAAGCAAGACTGGAAGGCTTGTTCTCAGAACAGGGCCCTAGAAGTTGGATTTCCCAGGAAGCAGTCCCCAGGTGTGGTGAGGGAAGCCTGGTGAAGTGTCTTGGAGGAGGAGGGACCGGCAGGGAGTGCACCGGAAACCAAACAGACAAGCCGATTAGGGAGCAGAACTTGTCCCCAGGCCTGGAAGGGCTGGGAGGACAGAGACCCTGCAGGGCGGGATAAAGGCCTTGGAGGGGTCCCCGGGGTTTCTGGCGGTGTAGTGATGGTGTGGCGCTGGCTCCTAGGAGCACCTCCACGTCTTCTGTTAATTTCCAATGTACATGTTATGGGGAGGTCTCACTGGCTCCCCTTTGGCAAATCAAACAGGAAACTCCAATTGGATACATCCAACCACCACGAATGCGTGAGACAACGCCTAGTCACCAAACGACCAGGCTGTGGCCTGTCGCCGCCCCGAAGCCGGCCCGACCCGAGTTGGAGACTGACTTTCCCTCGAAGGCGATGCCGCCCACCCCCCTTTCCCGCAGACCCGCTGCCCCGCCCACCACCGCCCACCGGTCCC